TCCTGCCTTCTAGGTAGCATCTGGTAATGTAGGATGTATCTCTTCCAGCCACCAGCATTCAAGGTCTAGTGAAGATCTGGAGAATTTTGTATATAAACCCCTTCCTCTGTTCTCTACATTGCAAGCAACAAAAAAATACAGCCCTGGCAGTTTGTCACAATGCCTCTTTGTGAAGTTCTGTGCTGCTGCCAGTCCCCGAGTCATCATGACAAATAACACAGACCCAGATCTTCCTCCTTTAACTGGAAGGAAAGTTTTATCAGTCTTCAATGATCTCAACTCTGAATTGCTTTTGATTAAGTAATCAAATTGCAGTGAGTACCCTGAATGAGCATCAACATGATGATTGATGTCTGTTGGCCACATAGTCAAGACCTGGGTTAGGCTATTGTGGCACTGCCTTTGTTCCATGTAAAAGGTGTTAAAGGAATGGAAAACCTGTTGTCTGAGGCAGCTGAGTGTATTTGGAACTTGGCACAACAGAGAAGGAGTTTGTGGAGTTGTTTTTTACATCCCAAATCCTGGGCTAACCTCACTTCTACACAGGTGAGAGCAGCCCAAAGTTACTTTGTTCTCCCTAAGAACCTTTTATTGCTGCTGTGACTGTCAGTGCAAAGGGATGTCCCAACCATTCCTCTCTCCCAGGCATAAACTTCTGCTAGCTGGGGGAAGACTAACCTAAAATCATTCCAGCTGCTTCCTGACAGCCAACATTCTCTACAAAGGAGTCCTCATGGAGTAGACCCATTAGATTTAAAATGCTTATGAGAGACACTTAAGATGTATTTTGTGCATATAGGAAGAGCAGAACATCAACTGAGATCCACTGTATAAAGGTCTAGGAAGGGTTGCTTTCCAAAGGACCAAAACTTTGGCATCCACCTCGAAAAATGGGCTATGGTTGTAGGGGAAACCCAGGGAACAGTCCATGAATCTTCCTTCTCAAGCTGTAGAGCAAAACGAGAGCTCCTTTTTGATACTTCAGTATCAGGAATAGGACTAGTTGGCCAAGGTGAGGACTGCCTGTAAGGGCTCCGTTGGCTTTCTGATGAAAGTTTATACATAACTGTCACAGGTTTTGGTGGATCTTCTCAGTACAGCAAAACTCTCTCAATCAGTTTAGAAATCCCAGGAACTAAGTATTTTGCCAAACATATAAGAAGGGCAATAATTCATCAAATATGACAGAATATTAGTCTTTGATGCTCCTTGTGCCACTTCTTTCTCCTATTTTCTGGCTGGTCTCAGAGACAAGATGCAGCTGAGAGAAGTTCTCTTTTTGCAAAGTACAGTAAAGACTGGGCTAGGGTTCAGAGGGAGCCTCCTAAAAGGAGAAATATTTTCTGCCAGTCCAATGTAAAACAATGGAGCAAGTTAAAATCAACACCCTACAAGCCATGTTTGCTACAATGAGTGGGTTTATTTTAGCATTTGTTCATATAAAGTTACCTTTGGGCACAAGAACTGCAGGCAGGGTGGATCTGTGAGGTTTGTTGGATTTCAATGTTCACTCTTTTTGTTCTGTTTCTAGATTTTGGCTGTGATATCCTTCTGGATGTATTTCAAGACCTGTTTGTTGTCAGTGGTTTTGGCAGATGGCTGTATAAACTCGAGGTCCCGTGATTATGATTCATTTCTCTGTGAATAATTTTGGTTACTAGGTTTGATTATATCTCTGTAGTGATTTTATACTACTCATATGTACACTGAATGCATTCAGAGCCAGGGCTGTGCTTACCCAAACACCTTCTTTTGGGCTAAAGAGCAAAAAAGGTACAGATGAACATCATTTTTTTTCATATTTAATGTTAGGTTTCTTTTTAAATGGGTATTATATTCATGTTCAGCTGTACATTATGGTTGTTTTGCTTTATTTATGCACTTAAATATTTCCTTATTTCTTTTTTCCTAGAGAGCATGTACATAAATATAGCTGTTACTTCATTTTGTCTTTGTGTGGTTTGGTATTTTATATACTAACAATATTTATTTACTAATATACAATGTGTTAACAAGTACCCAAAATTTTACCCATGCTCAAAACCACACTGCAATTAAAGAACACCTCAGAAGCACACGGGCATAAATATTTTGCTTTTGGGCTGCCCAGCTAAAAGATGAGGTAAACACACCTGATGTTCTTTCAGCCCTCTCAGAAAGCACTGGGATATAGTGGGATCTTGCTCTGAAATGTTCTCCTGCCCTAACTTCCCCCAGGAGCACTTTGTAGTTAGCCTGAAGTACTGGGAAGGATCCACAGAGATGCAAACAGGATTTCCCTAGGGCTGCAGGGGTGTGCAGAACTGGGAGGGCTGCTCTGGGAGCTGGGATGGGAATCAAGGCAGGGAGCATTTTTTTTTCTGTGGGTCATGACCTAACTAGTGACCTACTGTGAAAATGAAAACCCTCTGGAGTCTTTCTGAGTACTTGTACAGCCCAATTCCACTCGCAAGCAGATTCCTCTTCAGATGTTTATGCTCCTTCCCAAATGCCTGTTTCATTATGGAATAATTGTTAATTTATGTGGAGAATTATTTCACTCTATGATGCAATTTTCAGGCTTTCTAAATAGAAAGATTGTGTCAGACTGTATGGGACTAAACTGGAAAGTGCTGTTGGCATGATGTGAAGCAAGAGAAAACACATCTGAGTAAACATGTGTGAATGATCTGAGGGCAGTATTGAGGACATTCTTTGAAAGCTTCTGTTTCCAGAGTCATGCCACAGGGCTGACAGGCCAGTTCAAAAAGGGCATAAACACTTACAGATTCTCCCATCTGGGAGGTGGGGCTTGGAGATAAGCACAGGAGAGGTCTGCAGGCAGACTAGCTAGTCTGCCTTTGTGTCCTTGAGCCCTGCCTGGGCTTGAGTGGAGATGGCAAACACCAGGTTGCAGCCAAGCATCCGTGGGGTTTCTATTTTAGCTCTTTTGGTGTTTTCTTTCCATCAGGTGTGTTGTACAACCAGCACGTTAGTCTCACAAATACAAGCTTCATGCAGATTCTGCTGGGATACAGCTGGGCCTGTGGAGTCAACCTGGCTGGTCAGCAGGAGGAGGAGGAGGCTGATGCTTGGAAATCCAGGCCAAGGTGGTGCAGCCAAGCCAGGGCATCCAGCTCTCAAGAGATGTGAGGGAAGGCTGCCTCATGAAAGGATGGATGAGGGGAGGTTTTATCTGAGGAACTCAGGCAACGCTGGTCATGCTCCTTTCTATCCAGGTCTGTTGTAATACAGTTTCCAAATTAAGGCTATAAAAGAAAAGTCACCTGTATAGAAGTTTGGGCTGATGGAAGAACTGTATGAAAATTCAGTCTGGATTGGGGAGGACAGGAACCATGCATAGGAACAGCATCTTTCAGTCAGATTTATTAGTTTATAGTATATATTACCAGTTAAGAAGCAATTCACAAGTATCAGCAAGGGTTTGGTTGTTTTATTATATATCCCTTTAAAGCCCCACTTAAAAAGAAAAGCAGTCCTTTAGTGAAGATAGCTGTTACAAAGTTTTAAGGGTGCCCCAAGCTTTTAAAAGGTTGAATGTTCAAAATTAAGGCTCTAAAGTAAAATAATAAGATATTTGTTAATTGCAGAAAATCACAGGAAGAATACCCAGCAGACTTTGACTTTTGTTCATGACTTTATTAGTCTCTCATTAGCAACTCTTCTCTAACTACTCTCCTAAGCAGGCTTCCTCTATATGAGGCCTGGGGAAATTATTCCCAAAGAGGGCAGAGTTCTCTGCAGGGAAGATTGGTATGTTAAAAAGGGGGTTATGAGGGGGTTGTGTGTGTGTGTTTTTATGAGCACGTGGAGGTGGATTTCCTCTGCATAGAAGGAAATCTTGTTTATAGCTGGGGAGATTTACACCTGAGTTCAGGAGATCCTCAGCCAAAGGAAACAGTTTTCCTAAGTCCTGCTCACTATTAAACAGAGCCTGTCCCCATTCCCTTGGTTTCACTCAGTTCTGAAAAAGCAAAAAGGATTGTGAAGCCTCACTCTAAATATGTGGTAATCTCTTCAGGAATTTGTATTGAGGTATGAGAGGCAGAACATCTCTGGGAGCCTGTCCCCATTCCCTTGGTTTCACCCTTAGTTCTGAAAAAGCAAAAAGGGTTGTGAAGCCTCACCCTAAATATGTGGTAATCTCTTCAAGAATTTATGTTGAGGTATGACAGGCAGAACATCTCTGTTTTTACTGGGGAGCTTTCAGGAAGGCTCAAATTTTGATGAGGCAAAACTAGAGAAGTAGTAGAGTCTGGTAGCTATGAGGCAGGGCTATGAAGCAGTAAATGGAGAGGAAGAAGGCCACAAAAGAAGCAAGACGATGGGGTTAGTGAGGTGAAAGAACCAGCTGTGTGACTGGGGAAATGGGACTGAGGACATGGGAGAGAGCTTGGGGAAGCCAAAGAAACAAGAGTCCTGTTGCATAGTGGTAGTAAAGCAGAGAGAAGTGAGACATCAGGGAGGTGTAAAAGAGGACATGTGGGCTTGCCTGCTATTATTTCCATAAATTTGAAGCTGGGAGATTATCAAAGCAAAAAAAGATAACTCTTTCCAAGAGAAATCTAAGTGAGTCTCAGGGCCAGGAAGCAGGTGGCTGTTTATGTGTACTTTTTCCTTCCCAAACCTAACAGAAGCCTGTTTTCAATTAAAACAGAAACACAAAGGCTCTGGATGACTTTGCAGGGCTCTGTGAGACACACGTGCTCTCCTTGGAAAGGAACCCATCCACCCCTGTCCTGCTGCAAGGCTGCATTTGCCTGGAGCCCTCTCATGGTGGTGAACTGCTAACTTGGATCTCACTACAGGTACACTCCTCCTGTGACAAGGGTCACACTCCTAATGGCAAAAGTAAAGACAGGAAGGTAGTAACATGGTGTCAGTGATGCAGTTGAGTTTTACCTTTATTTTACAGGTTAGAGGCTAACAGGCCTCTAACAAAACAAGAATTCTCCCTCTGCTCTCAGGGGGAGTGTTAAAATTCATTCTCTCGATGCATTCTAGCTGCCTGGACATAAATATCCTTGCTCAGTGCTTGCTTGTGATGGAAACTGTTCCTTGTGTTTGGCAGGTACAGCTTCTGAACCTTCATCTTCTTCCTCCTCTCTCTTTGGCTCTGATTTCTTTCCTGTTCTCTTGTGAGACTTGCATTTTCTCAAATGCAATCTTTCTCTTTCTTTTCTCTCCTTCATGCCTTCAGGTTGCTAAAAGGCAGGAAAAAGAAGGGAATTAAAAGCAACTCCCACATGAACAAAAATACCTCATTATTTTATTTCATTAGTAGTGTACAATAAAATATTCCAGTCAGGAATCCTAACTGGATTTTCTAGCCAGAGGCACTTTGGAGAAATGATAAAGGATGTACTAATATCAAGTGTTATTCAAGCACAGATTTTTCAATAGGGTGACTGAATTTGATGGTGTTCTTCTGACACTTTAAAGTGACTTAGGGTTTATTACCCTTCTGCTGTAGGATACACCAGATATTATGTATCATCATAATAAAAATGCTGTTTTATATATTATAATGTATTCATGCTGTTACAGTGACTATCTGTACAGCCACTTCCAGCAGTGGCTCCTGCTGCAGCTGTGCAGTGACACTGAAGAAAGCAGATGGATGGGTAAAGGAGAAACCTCCTGTAAAAACCACGTAATTTGGGAAATTCTAACTCAAGTTTATTTCTTCTTTTCCCTCAGCAAAGCCACAGTGATTACACCAGGGCCAAAACTGGCCTGCTGGCTGGTTGGTTGGGGTTTTTTCTCTCCTGGAGTGATCTTAAGATGGTTGCTACCTACCAATGAAACCGAGCGTTTGCTTTTGAGATGTAATTGCTTTTCAAAGGACTCTGCCAATTCCTGGATGGAGTTTGATCTTGTCTCTGGGCAGGAGCTGTCTGTTGAAGGTGTCCTGCTTGCTTTCCTGTGGCAGTGGCATTTGGCATCTTGGTCTTCCTCAAATTCCTTGGAGCCTTTGAGATGGCCTGAAGGGGAGTCTCTGGTAGAAGCATGGAGTCGTGTTGGATGGAGGTAGGAAAGCCTGGCCTGAAAAACAAGAGGTCTTTTTAAAGCCCTGAATATTGAAACAGAGCACACAGGGCAAAGTCTTTCTGCTACAGAGTGTTCTCTGAACAATGGTGTAGAATGAAGGACCTTGCCCACTCCTGTAATTTTCTTTTAATGTTCAGGAGATTCACACTGCAAACAGCTTGCTAAAGAGGCAGCAGAATTTGCTTTTATTCCCATTTATGGGTGTTTAAGTTTTGGTACCCAAATGAGCATTTCAAATGTGAGGCTTCCTGGGTCCTCTTAGTGCTCACTGACACCATATGGAACTGGAACCCTTCACAAGCTCAAAAACTCAGGCCTCACACCTGCCAGGACTCTGAATAAGCACAGACCCAGCCTTTTGTGGCCAGATGAGCCAGATACAAGGTTTGAACCTCAGGTGCTCCAGCTCTTATCAGGTGTTTGAGTTCATCTGAGTGCAACAGCAACTATTTCTTCCCCAGTTGTGTCAAATTTTCAGCATGACCTACATGCATTGTCCACAGCTGAATTTTCTCCTGGTTTCTTGAGCACATTTTTCCTGTGGGAGAGGGAGAACTTTCAGGGCACTGAGGGACACATCCCTACCAGAAAAATGGTAGGAAACAGGCTTCCTGCAATTACATTTGTAAGGGTAAAGTGAGGAGGGAGCAGATGGTTGTTTAGTTTCTGTGTGGTTCAATTTTCCCAGGCCTGACATGCAGACAAAAGCTATTGATCTGCATCAGCTGCATTTAATTGAATGTGTCTTCAGGAGATTAAACTGATGCAGAGCTGCTGTGTCCTCTGGTGTCATGGATTGGTGGGTTTAGAAACAGACCTGCAGAAGAGATGGGTGAGAAGGCCACCACAGAGAGCCAGGTGTGCCCCAGACTCTGCCAGCTGCTGATGCTTTCTCAGGATGAGTAGCAGGTAGTGAAAATTGTGAGAGAGAGATGGAAGGTCCCCAAAATGAGACCTCCACAAGTGGCAGGTGAGAGCACTCTGAGTACTTAGCCACATGTTTTAATGC